GAAAGAAAGAAAGAAAGAAAGGAAAGAAAGCAAAGAAGAAAACAAGTGTATTTCTCAGATTGGTTACCTTAAGAATAATTTCTAATGTAAAGATACTAGTGAAGACATAGTCTGCATTGCCTAGGATCTGAAAAATAAGCACAATTGGGTTAGTGGTACTGAGCGTGACCCAGGAACAAACAGGCGTGTGTGTTAGCAACAGAGAGTGGCAGAAAACTAGAAAGCTTGTGAGCAAGTAATGGTAGAGAGGATGGGCACTTTACCTTCAGAGCAATTTCAATGGTGAAAATGACAGTAAAAACTATATCAAAATAAAAGAGAACCTGTAAAAACAAAAGGGGATAGCAGTGGGGAGGGCACATCAGTGATCACTTGAAYGGGAAATCACAGTTCAAAATCAAATACATAAGTTCTTTCCACAAGGGAATGAGGATGACTCTATAGGGAATGGTTTTGCAAAAATGTCCTGTAGAATGCAGTGAAGGTCCAGGCATAGAGGACAAGTAGCACATTACATGAAATCTTTCCTAAGTCACAATCCCATGAGCACTACAGAGGCAAAGTAACTTTTTGATTGCTGTAGATTTTTTTTTTTTAATCTCATAAAGAACATTCAAGGGTTTTCCCAAATAGGATTCCAAACTGAGAACACAAAGAATGCCTGGTCTCTCAGTGGAAAACACGAGATTCCTTCTTATTAACTTCCATTCAGTCTTGTCCTGTGCCTCTCTCAAAGGAAGAAAAGCAAACTGCAAATTCATAGTCTAGCTATTTTTTTAACTCTATCCTGAATTGCACTGGATTAGAATGAATAACAAAGACCCTGCCAACTGAACAGAATCTCAGCACTTGTATTGTAGCCATAATTTGGTCATTCACTAAAGGTGCCCAACTTGGATCTTGCATCTTTCTATTTGCATCCTGAATAATATGCCAGACGAAATGCTCCTCATTCCCAGGAACTTAGACCTGGTGATGGAGATACCCATGTGGCATGCATAGCAGACCACAAAGACTTGTCATAGGGCATCACTGGAGGCAACAAAGCTCTGGGAGTTTAAATGGGCTTTCAAAGTAGCAGCATCAAGGACAGGAATGTCTTTCACTAAAAATCATTTGACATCCCACAGCAGGAAATGGGAACTTTCTCATTGGCTTATTGGACCAGAATTGAACTCTCTTTGTTTCCAATATATTTCAACATCTCAAGCCACTTTAATGCTATCTACCCTACAAATGTTGAATAGCAAAAGTACCATGTGCATGGTTTACTATTGTTTTACCATAGCCAAGTTTTAAATCAGAATTAAATAGAGAAGCTGTAGAAAATGGATAATTTGTGAAATTTAGACCTTTACTACTAAAATGCTAATAAGCATAACACAGGAAACTTCCCTCCCCCATCCCACAGGCTTTTATTGTATCTTAGTGCCCCTATCCTCACTCAGATCTATAGGTGACTAAACTCTTACAGCTTGGTATGCAGTGGGGCAGCTTCTGCAAACTCTAGGATTGTTTTACATTGCATTATTTAAGCATAATCCAAATCTGGATGGATTTGCAGACGCTGCATGTCAAGTGGGGGGATGTATCACTTACTGCTATCATATAACTCAATATTCTTTACATCACTGCTCAATTTTTAATTTCAAATTCTTCTCAAGGCTGTCTTGGGCTTTATCAATTTTTGCAGCTTAGAGAATAAAAAAAGGGCCACTTCAAAGGAGTCAGATCTCAATTTCAACCTACATCAATTTACATACATCATAACTGGAAATATCCTTTGCCTTGCTGCTTTGTAAGTCCTGACATTTGGTAATTTTATCAATGGAAGAATTTTCTAATCAGTGGGCCGGATTCATGGGTACTCTCAAGCTGCTTTGCATGACTCCACCAACATAAAGAAGTTGTAAACTTGATTAAAGGGAAAGATTAAGCTGTACCTATTGCTGTTTTACCTGCCAGAGCACTGCAAAGGAGCTAGAATACACTGGTGAATCTGGCCCCAAAGCAGCAACTACAAAGATGTCCCTGACAGATGAAATTATGCTTAATGACAATGGTCACTGCCCCACCTGCAYAGGCACTACCATTTATCAGCTGGCAAATTTATTATTATCTAAATATGAACTGACTCTAGAATATATTAAAATGAATGAGCATCTCGCAAGGTGCAGATGGGGGAATATTGTGAACACAGTCAGGATTTGCTAGGACTTCAAAGGCTGTTTGGTTAGACTGGGGTGGCACTTCCAAAGACRTGCTGCCTGAGCCCTGTGTGACACAGGAAAGACACAGCCTGCCCCAGGAAGGAGCAGTGCCCAAACCTCTTCACTGGCCCTTGATGGGCTCTCTGTTCCTGTCTTCCTGCTCTGRAATAGGCTGTGCTCACAGCAGCCCTGGGCTGCACAAGTCCTTGTGCACAGGCTCATGCTGAGTGAAGGCAGAGGCAGYTTTGCTTTCAGCTTGATTTCAGCTTGATTTCTTCCTTTTCCTCCCAGGCCTCTGTGTGGGCACAGGGGAGGACACGATCTTACAGTTTTACTGTCACAGTGCAAAGGCAGACCACATTTGCAACCCAAACATCTTGTCAGTGTCCCCTTGCATGATACATTTTAAACAACTGTACCTGCAAAAATTAAACACAGATTTTCAAGCAACATCAGTGGCTTCAAATACACAAAACAACACTTTGCCTCAAACCTTCAGCTCTTCAATCCAGCACAACCAGCTTTGACTCCTTTTTTTTTTTTTCCCCTCTCATTTACATCTCTCTGCTACAGATTCTGAGACAGTTTCTGTGTCATGTCAGAAGCCCATCTGCCAGCTGACATGCTGCAGCACTAATACATATTGGCATTCAGTTATCCCTACATGGTGGGCACACTCACTTGTGCACAAGTGGGGTATYGGTAGCACAGATTTGACTGTATTATGGTATTATTTAGCATCCTCCTTCAGGAAAATATGTAAAGACACTCTGAGACATGCTCAGGATTAACCTTCCATTAACACCTTCTCTGCATGCACATRTATGTTCAAATGCATGCTCAGGCCAGCATATTTCAGGAAGTATTAAATTAAGGTTTTATTATTAAACGAGAAAAAATCATCCCACTCTTTAGTCCTAGCAAACTCTTCAGGTATCAAGGCACCAAAATGCCAGTGCAGACACCAGAAATCAGAGGTCTTGCGTATGTCTGCTGACTCTTCTGTTTTCTGCAATGACTCCAGACTAATGGAAACAACCACTGTCAAAAGGCAAATAAGAATGATCTAGAAAGAGGGTAAGAATGTACCTCTGTTCTGAATGCTTTCCTCTTCTCACCCCAGGCAGGTAAGGAGAGGAGCACAGCATATTTTTTGAGGGTTATCTCAATTTAATGATAGCTTTGCAGCTTGTGTTCAAATAGTCTGATTCTAACCCTGATGACATCAATTTCCCCCAGAGTGACTGCATCAAACTCAAGAATGTTACTCCTGATTTACACCAGTGTGAATAAAATGAAAATCAGGCCCTGGGCTTTTTAGTTCAAAAGACAGCATGTGGCAGCTGAACAAATGCTCCAAAGGGAACCTGAAAATCCCTCAAAATTGAATTATCTGGATCCAAATCAATGTTTTTACAGCTCACTCTTAATGCTTTAATCCCAGGGAACAATAATTTTTGCTTCAGCCTCCTGTTCTTCCTTTCCCTACACACACTTCTGAGGTGAACTAGAGGCCACATTCTCCACTGACTCATGTTTCCTGCAAAACCTAATGATTTCACACACAGCCTACAAAAGGAAGAAATCATGGAAGACAGGCACTCCCAAAGCCTCTGATGCAGCCTTTTCTGCCTTTCCTGGCTTCAACTCATGATCTGCTTATACCACACTCATAATACCCAGCGAGGGAAGGAGGATGTGAAGCATACTTGGTTCCTAAAGGAGAGGTGTCGCACGGGGTCCTCAGCTGCCAGGGAGATGCTGCTGAGCAAGATGAAAAATAGGATCAGGTTGGTGAAAATGTTATCATTAACGATTCGATGGCAGTGGACACGAAACCTGCAAGAGAGAGGAGAGGCACRACTTTATCTCTCAAAGAACAGAAGACCTCTGAAACATTTCCCCCCTCCTCTTGTGCCAGCTGGACAGGGCCTAGAGGGTTGCTCTGCAGGGTATCTTCCCTCTGCCCCAGCAGCAGGGAGAACTATGGGCCCAGACAGCTGTGCTGGGCAGCCCTGGCTCTCTACATCACACTGGACTCACACTCGGTCCGTTTGAATGGAGAACCGTCACTCCCACCTGACAGAGCTGTTTGTGATTTCCATGTGGTCAGAAACCTGCCAGAAATACATTTCTTGCTTTCATTTACAGAACCATTCCTGATTTGTTTAGGAGGAAAGGAGCACAAACAGGCTCTAAGGTGACAATATCTTTTTGAGCTGAGGCTGGAGTGTCACTTAACAGGAACTATGGGAGGTTTACCTAGCTAACAGGGTACAGGCCTAGCCAAATGGATATAGTGCAGGCTGGCACTGGCAAATGACCTCTGAGAGACATCATGCCATGCAGGCTGTATGCTAAACATGAGCCCACTTGGTGCTTTTAGTGGGAATCTAGCAGGCACAGAAAGAGCAGCTCCCCATCAAACAGCAGCTTGCTTACTGGAGACCCTTACACCAYCTTCCCTATGATAGTAGCAGGATGTGAGGAGTTAAACCCCATAACAGCTCTGTGCATTATTCTACAGGCACTTCATTAATCTATTTAGTTCTACTCTTGGCTGTTAAGGCTCCAAGTCCCTATTACAGCAATTTTACAGATGACTGCAGAGGTTAATTTATTTCTTCTACAAATGACAGGGGGTGGGTGGCAAAGCTAGCATTAGAGTCCATGAGGCCCATCCACCCTCAGTCCCTCCCTGTTACACATACCCAAGGAGGAGTAGCACAAACTCTGCTGGGAAAAAAACCTGGCTCTGAATTCAACTATGCAGATACAGCCCTGCCTTACTCTGGGGCTGTGTTTGGAGGCGGAGTCCTTAAGAGAGATACTGGAATACATGGTCCTGCACGGTCCTTTAGGCAGTGAGCTCATTGCTGCACCCTCCAAAAGATAAACTCACCTGTGTCCTAACAGCCCACCACCCACAGTACTGGTCTKGAGCATCTATTTTGGAACGGAGGTGTGACAATGTGGAACGGCAYTGCAGAACTCATGGGAAAAGTGTGAGAGAAGAATTGTTCTCCCTTGCCTCCCCTCAGAGCTGTGGACTCTCCAMCTCCTCCTCTCACTTCTTATTTTATGCTCATTCTTGATGTGCAGCAATGAGCAGAGACACATGAACTCCCTGCTGGGAGTGGATTCTGAGCAGCCCTTAAGACAGGAGGCTGCTACCTCCCACTTGATTGATTGCATGATGGCTCTCCTGCAATTTGGACCTGAAATGCTGGGGAATTCCCATTACTGACTTGATTCTGAGTCCCTTACTTCTGAAGCTTTCATGACTTGTGTCGTCGATCAGCCTTGCACATGCCATGAACTCCCAATGAATATTTTCAGGGTACTCCCTACAGTTGTGTTTTCATGAGGATTTCATGCCTTAAAGSAGACATGGGTGAAAGAAGGCCTCTAGTATGAACTGGTGAAAGGGAGCTCTGCACCTCATAACTTTTGGGGCCCAAYGTGAAAGGGGTACCTGCTCTTCATTTCTTTCTTCAGGCTAAACAATCTCTTACATACCTGTTGCTAGGACTGAAGATGAAAAAAGCACTGGCATCAGGCATGGGCGCAGCCTTTTCCTTGAGGTGCAGCTCAGACATCGGGCGAGGTCGAGGGCCGACAGGCATCTCAGGTTCTTCCTCATCTTCCTCTGCTGCAAGAAGCATTTTTGTTTTTTGATGTGAAATACAACCCGTTCTGAAGTGCTGAGGCATTTGTCTCTGTCATAACTAGAACCAAAAACTAAGACCCATTAAAATAGAATAGAGCTGAAAGCTTGAGATTGCTTTTCCTTCCTTCCTTCCTTCCTTTCTTCAAGGCAGTGCCCTTTAGCCAGTGCTCACCTTGGCACACATTGATCTCATCTSTCTGTAACACCATTAGTGCTGGTAAACCTACAATATTCTCACAACACTCTCCTCAGATGCTTCACAGTCTCTTCTGCAAACAACAAAGAGGCTACTTCCAATGACTCATTTGAATCTTTCTTACTGTGGTTTAGATCTGTTGTCTSTTTTCTTATTTTCCATGGACACAGAAAATTAAAAATTGCCTTCCTCTTGCAGAAAGCTTTTGCATACTCAAGGACCACTATTATGCCCCTGGGAGAATATCTGGCTCCTAGAGCAAAACAGCAACAGCCTTTCCTCAGCTGCTCTGTTCCCCAGGTCTCTGATCACTCTTGCTACTTGCTTCCAGATTATCTGCAGGATTAACCTGCAGYTGAGGCTTTACTGCTGCAGAGGAGAGCTAGATTACTTCTTATATCTTGTAATGCTACCTTCCTGTTAAATGTCCTTCATGGAGACTTTTCATTATACTTTGGCATTAATTTGCCATCAGTGTCTGATATGYACAAAGCACAGATTATTTACCACAGAGAAACGGTCTGGCCTGTCAGTTTCCCCTCTGCATTTCTGACTATTCCCAAGAGTGGCACTTAGACCTCATCCTTACTGAAGGGCATCTTGTTTTCTTCTGGCCATTCCTCCAGTTTATCAAGATTGTTTTTCTCCTATTTGTGACCATCTCCATGGAGCTGCTGCCACATCTGGAATTGTGTCTGGATGAGCCCCAGAGCAAACACTGAGCATAGGCACATTGACTTAGACTGATCAGAAAGTCTTAAAACTGTCCCCTTTTGTAACTTAGTGGGGGGAAGATTAGAAAGATGGGGATGGGGCTGAGACTCTCAAACCTGRTGCCTATGGAGCACATCTCCAGGCACTGTGCAGATCAGTGAGCAGCCTCAAGAYAGAATATGAAGAGATGAAGACTAAGTGATAGTGAAAGAGAAGCTTCCACCTTTGAAGATTTCTTCTACCTGCTGACRTCAGACATTGTTTTATAAATGACGTGATAGGATTTTGCTATTTTAAAGATCCCAATCCTCTGACTTAATCAGCAACACAGGGAAAAAAATTAAGAAAGGAGCCTGACATGTTAAATACAACTGATTCATCTTCCAGCTACTGCAAAGGAAGAAACTAATTAAAAGGTTCATCTTGAGTCCACAAAGGGAGACAAATTCCAGGAATGATATTCCTTTAGTGTGAGGTACTGTACTTGATCTGGTTACAGGACACATCAGAAAGAACAGATGAATCAGCACAGGTCCTGATCTAGATATCAGAGAGAAGAGAAAAGTGCCCTTTTTGAATGCATGCCATTATTACATGCAAATAGGATTCTTTCTTTAYACTTCCTGTACCAAGAGTTCAGCTCGAATTCACTTGATAGATCTTTGCATAAATGTTTGAACTGGTACATAGAGTTTGYACTTTTAAAGTCAGTCTATTTTCTAACAGCTCTTTTTTATGTGTAATATATAATACTCTTTCTRCAGGCTTTATTAGTTAAAGAAACATCTTTCAGAAGTACTTTTTTACATAGGAGTTGTAAAATAGGTGTTAATGCTCATGTTTCTGTAACATAACCATATTTTGCACTTACTCCTTTGATCTAGCAGTTTCACAGTRGGCTGACACAGTGAGTTGAGCAAATTCTTTTTGTTCTTTGACAGGCCAGAAAACCAATGCCCTGGATCATGTGGGATATTTGAAACTGTTACTTAAGAAGAGTATTCTGGGTCCCTGCTCTGCACCTTCYGTGTGAAATCATTCTTTTTCTTTTACTCAGAGGAATGCTTAAAATACAATTTTAAATGGGCATGGAACAATGTCTCTGGAAAATCAATCCTTAGCAGAAGGATCAGCCCCATGAAGACCATAAAGAACACTGTTCCTCTCCTCTTCTTCTCACGTTTGCCATACAGCAAGAAATATATTAATGACTCTGGGAACCAAATACCTCCAGACCGAAAAACACATTCAGTTCCTCAGCCATAGATAAAGAACTATGTTTTACTTTTCATTTAGAGTCTAGGGTACAAAAGAGAGGAAACACTGAGGTCCAGATKCACAAAGAATGATTACAGCCTCATYCCAGGTCACCACCCAAGCTATCTACCTCCACACAGAAACAGCACARCTGCTCACATTTGTAGAAGCAAATGTTCTTTGGCTGTGAAGACAAGCACAAACAGGCTGCAGTGCAGCATCAGTGAGAAATTCGACGGTGGGGAGTTTTTTTACTGTACAAAGACCAGAACTCTCGTATAAGGACATTATTTTACTTCAAGCTCCCATGAATCATCCCAAGCTTTTACCTTCATTTGGCGTTCTGAATTCTTTGTCTATTTCTGTACTAGACTGCAAGACTAGCTCCCTGTCTTCCTATAATAAACACATCATCATAATAATCCTTCTAGTGTACACAAATCTCTGGGAGAACTAGTCTGTCCTTCTGAAAGAGAGACTAGGTGATCTGAGGAGCTGCAAGCACACAGAGTGCTGCCAATGAGCAACACTGTGTAACAGAATCAGGAGAGGTTATTGAGAAAACTGGTTTAACGAGCAGAAACAGATTAGAGAATGAGCAAGATATGTTAGGAAAGACCCTACCTWGTTAGGAAAAACAAATGAAGTGACCAATTCAAACCGTTTCTCAACACTGAACTATGGTGAATGATGCTTGCAGAGGATGTTCAGTCAGGGCAAGGTCACAGGCAGTAACAGCTTAAATCATAAACAGAAAATAGGTAGAACCAGCTGGCTGCATCTAAGAAGCAATAGGATGTTTCAKTTAAAGCACAGCTGAAAATGGATCCATGTGCAAGCAGACGGGAAAAGGTGTGCTCCCAGATGGGCTGTATGGGGCTGCACAGCATCTCCTGCAGCACAGCTGGACTGATCTGCAATCAGCASGAGTTGGGATTGCTCAGATGTCACAAGGGAGCTGGACAGGCGTACGTGCAGGGAGTGGGAAATTTTTGCTTGCTACTGCTGGGGAAAGCTTTGAGGCCTTGCTTTCCAAAACCAACTACACGAGGCAGAGGTGACCTGTCACATCAGCTCTGAGAGAGCCTTGGTGCTCCTGGGCTTTATACAGCAGAGTGGAACAGATGACTATGGTAAACCTGATCTAATAAGAGCTTTACAAAACTTTGCTACATCKGAGCCTTATGAATGACTTCCATGAAGTCTGAAGGATGTGGATTTTGTGAGCTGTTAGAGATCAACTTAATTCTTCATAAAAAATCGATAAACAATTCAGGGAACAGGCCGGTTTGGAAATTACATCAATGCCATACAGTGGCAATTAACCAAGATGGCGTCCTTTTGCATTTCCAGTAAGAGATGGGAAGAAACCTGATAATCCATTCAAATTTTAGGTTGTGTTCAAAAACATGTTAAGCCAGGGATTGGCACTCCAAGGCAGACATTAAGAGTGTTTTCACTTACTTTTCTGCACTCTAATTCTATGCATGGCTGCATGACAAAAAAAAAAAAATTGTTGTAGATTTTTGTCATATATTTCATATGCTGGACTATTTCTAAGCTAGCCAAAAAAGATAACTAAACCCCAATTTTATTAGCAGTAGTCTGAAAATCAATATTCAGATGACTGCTCCTTCCCTTGAAAAAAAAAAATACAAGCCAGCTGGGAAAACAAAAACTGTACAAAGCTGTTTTAATTTGTGCTTCTTACTAAAGCCTCCCACAACCCCCTTAGCAACTGGAGATGTGTGTCCAGTAAGTGCCTGCACCTRCAAAGGTGATGGGAAGATTAAAGCCAGAGTGATCTGCCTCAAGCTGTGTTAAAACAGTATTGCATAGAGTTAGAACCACAATCTTTTCCTAATAAATTGACTGAATAAATATGGAAGAATACATGTATAGCATATGTGAGAACTTCTTGTACTGAAAATCAAATGCAATGAACAATTTTCAATTTTGCTTGTCTGCAACCCTTGTCCATCTACTCAAAATGACCTCTTGTGTTCTTTTTTACCCTATCAAATCAACCTGCCAGACATTTATTTTTTAGGACTCATGGAATAGAAGAGAAAGAGTTTTATAGCCTATTATATCCTGTTACATAATCACAGAAACACAGAAGAGCAGAGCAGGAAAGGATCACACAAGACCCTCTRGTTCATGCCTCTGTCAAGCCAGGTTCAATTAATTACTATGTCTAAACCTTTTCTGGGAGACATTTTTCTGACCTGTCCTTAATAACATTCAGTGATCCTGCGCTTCCACAACCACCTCTGCGAACTTTTTCAGCCTCACTATTAGAAAATACTTTCTGCTGTGAATCTTAAATCTGTTACATAATAATGGAGATAATTCCCCTTCTACCTGTAGCAGGTTTCTATGCATTCAAAGATGTTTCTCCTACTTTTCCTAAGTCAGATGACCAAGGTTCATTCCGTCTTAGTTCTTGCTACTTACTAGCATTGTTTTCACCTTTCTCTTCTATATTCCTCCTAATTCAGCCCCACTTCTCTTCACCAGAACCACCCAAAATGAGATATGATACTCTAGTGGAGATCTTAGCAATGGTGAATGCGGCAAAGCAATTGCTTTGCTCTGATTAGCTTTTAGTGACCAGTTAAAACAAACCCATAACTGGACAAAAGGGTCATGTTTTCTCTGTTTACAAGTCTCACTRCTTGCTTGCCTTTTCAAAGACAGCAAACTGTTGCTGGCATCTGTTGAGCTTGTGATCACGAGATTCAGATCCTTTTCTCAAGGACTTTTACCTAACTAGCTGTCACCTAAGATCCTTTATTTGTGAATTGTTTATTCCTGTCTATGAGTAGAGCCTGGCACTCTCAATTTTATTTAGACCATTTATCCAGGACCTCAGGAGCTCTTTGAATTCTAATGGTGCCCTCCAGCATGCTTCTTGTCCTTCCTAGCTTCATGTCATCTACAAATGTAATAAGCATACTGCCTCTTCCATCATTCAGGTCATTAACAATGAACTGAACTGAACTCCAGACAGACTTTTGGGTTGTACAAACTCACTTGGGCTATCACTATTCTCCCCTTAAAGGGTCTGATCATTTTTCTCTCAATCAACTACACCATATTTTTCTAGTCAGCTTATGAGAACACTATAAGTGACTGTCAGAAGCCCTAGCAAAGTTAAAGAATATGTCATCTACTTATTTTCTCCTGTCTACAAGTGTTTTCAGCCCCTTTTGGAAGAAAATAAGGGTGGTTTGATGTATGATTTGCTCTTGGCAAGTCTATTTTTGCTGCTAGTCATCTCCTTATCTTGCGGTCATATAGTTTGYTAATGCTTTGCTCCAGCACTTTTCCAAGAATGGAAGTTGAATTGATTAGCTCTAACCCCACCCCCTATTCAGGATCTCTTGCAGAAACACTGCTTAAAGTTCTGTGATTTCTTCAACCAATTTCAAGTATCTGAGAATGAAGTTAATTAGGCCCACCCAACTTGGAAACCAGCCTAACTGATGCTACAGGTTGTTTCTTGCACTTCTAGGCTGAGATCTTATGCCTTTAGAGTCTTGCCATAACACTGTCCTTTTTGATTAGAAAACAATACAAAAAGGCATTCAGCACTAATACAAAAAGGCATTCAGCACTTTCCTTTTCATGACTATGTTATGAGACTCTCCTGACTACTGAGTACTGAAAAAGCACACTGAAAACAAAGTGATACGTATATTTTAAAAGAGGGATTTTTTTTTAATATGATTTGATTTGGTTCTTTCCATTAAGCAGTTTTACAGAGAACCAAATGAAATATGCCTAATCAGTATTGGGGCTGCAAAGGACTAAGTGCACACCTGTGCAAACACAGGCAGGCACGTCATCCTGTCCCATCATGAAATGGTTCCAGCATACCTGCTAGCACCATTTGGCTTTATGTGCATCAGCAACTGGAGCTTCTGTTGAATGAGGAATACAAGGAAGGAAATACATACCTGGTGCTTCAGTTGTGGGATAAGGGCTCTTTTCTTCRTTTTCATTGGACTGATAATCATCCACATTGATCTGACAGAAATGGAAGGAGAAGCATCAAAGCCTTTATCAGACAAGGCAGACAGTTTTCATTCCCTGAGAAATCCAAACTTTTCATGCTATCACTGCACAGAGAGTGTTGGCTGGCAGCAGACCTTACCTTGGTAGTAGGTGGGGACTCTCCATCAGCAGTGATCGATTTCAGYTCAATTTTCTCCTCCTTCGTCTCTTCCTCCACAGCTGTTTTTTCCGTCTCCTGTTTCTTTTCAGGACTAGCAGTCCTAGCAAATTCACAAGATAAAAMCCAAAGAGTTACAAAGGTGGAAAGCTGTTTTCCTTTCAGGAACTTCATGTAGTACACAGCTTAGAACTATCAGCTGGCTGGCATCTCCCTTCTGAGTTCAGTTCATTCCCCACCAGTGGCTCCGCCTTGTCCCCATCTGCAGGCAGAGGCTCTGCTCTATTTTAATATAATGTCCTTTCTTTTGTAGCTTTCTCAACAGTCTCTGTGTGTGTGTTTGTGCAAATGCATATTCTAGGTCTGTCAGCAGACATCTCTGTTCACCCAATGACAAAGGCATGCACTATTTTCAACCCATATTTTGTGAACTTCCAACTACATTGACTACAAAAGTTTTGCCCCTCACTGCACTCTGAGAGTGAGGGAAATCTGCTGAGTTGCATGCAGGATGAAGCAGAAAGATGTGCCCAAGAGATCCCCTCCAAGCAGCCTGGAAAACAGTGAATAGAAATAACCAGAAAGGAGAGGCTTCCCTGCTGTTGGCAGCTGGGAATGGCAGAAAAGCTCCTCTTCCAGCTTGTGCCCCTTAAGTGTCTGCAGAAACACCAAAGAACTGGCAAGAGGAGAACAGCATGTGGCATCAAAAGAAAAGGAAGCTGCTAAATCTTGTCATGGGAATGACAGTCGGAAATTATGCCTTGTGGCCCAAAGCAATCAGAAGATAGCAGGGAAATTCAAATGGGATTGACAYCATTTCACACTCCTTCTCTTCTGATGGTCTGAAAGCTCATCAGTAAACCAGAATTCCTTTCCTCTGCTCATATCATTGCAACTGGGGGACTCCCAGCTCACACCACTTTCTTGTCTTATGGAATGGTTGGAATTCCTTTACATAAAAATTTCTATATTCAGAAGTCCATATATAAGTACATTAATCACACATATAGAGTCTGTACACACAAAGACAAGTTATATATATAACATATACACACATGTATGTATAGGCATCATATACATATATATTCATACTGTGTGCAATTACACTAACAGGAATGTGTGTAGATATGTGTATGCAAATGGATTTACCTAGCTAGCTTTTTCCTTTCTTTTTCCTCTTCCTCCTCTTTCTGTGCGGATGTTAAACTCTCAGCATCAGCAAGGTTGTCCACAGCAATGGCCAAAAATACATTCAGCAAGATGTCTGTTTGTATGCTACTTAAAGAAAATGGGCTTTAAAAACTGCAGAAGAAAGATTATACCAAAGGTTTCTTAATTGAAAATTTTTAGCAACCTGTCATCAGATCCCTTGGATTTTCCAAACTTCCATTTCACACAACTGCATATCCATCATGAACAAACCTACACCTTCCTTCCACACAGATAACACACTTTGTGGGTTTTCAAAATTTCACAACAGAATGGCTGATATAAAACATCTAAGCCCAGATTTACATTTCAGTTTCTAATTTCCCAAAAGTGTCTSCCTTTGTGCAGAGAATTCCACTGAACATAAGGAGAGTACTGAATGCTTTGCATCTTTTGACAGTTTAGGTTACATGAGTGGATTTTATGGACAGCAAGCATAGCACTCTAGTGAGTATTTCTGAGGTTAATTTAGTCYGGACAGTGAAGGGTTGAGCTGACAACTCTGCCATCTCCTAGCAGAGTGCATGCATGGCCAATCATGCCCATGTAGCTGAAGGGCAAGGAATCACAACTSTTTTCTTGTCTCACCAGTCAGTGCTCAGATCTCACATTACAAATCTGAGCATAAGGTCATTTTATAAATTTCTTGAGYGCAGGTCTTAGTATACCATAATAACTCTTAAGCAAACCCTGGTTCAAGGCTTTGTCTGGWAACACAGACATCCCCCCACCTCTCTGAGCTCCAAGGTCTAAAGGCTCCAAAGTCAGCCAGCATGTAGAGCTGGCTCGCATTTTCACAAGGAGATCCAAGTTGTAGCTTTTTTTTTTTTTTTTTAAGCTGTCAGCCAGATTGCCTACCTTGACCTTCAGATAAGTGGAATTGCACCACCTCACTTTGAAGTGAGGGCATGCAGGTCAACTGAAACGTCAAATAACAGGGTTTGGGAGATCTGAATTATGGGCAAAGGCCAGAAGAGCTGGGCTGAGTCTRTAAGGTGGCTTTATAGAAGCATCAGTATAAAAGGAAATGTCACCTCTGACACAGGAGGCCCATTTGTTAGGGAAGCAGAAACTAAACATGGACAAATTTGGCGCAAACTGAGATAGGGGACAGAACAGCAGCTCTATGTTATAYGCAAATTCCTGTGAAGAGACACTCGCAGCCTAATCATGCAATGTGCTTTGTGCCTCCTGGGGTATGTACAGTGCCCTCACTTCACCTTGAAGCCAAAGAGAACAAAAGTTACTCAAGACCAGCAGAGGCTGGAAGATAACAGAGCACAAAATTTTCTGTTTGAAGAACACACAGATTGCAGAGACTGAAATGGAACACGGGTCCTGTTAGTTTATACAGGAATTAATATATAATCTCACATAAATCATGTCAAACATATGTTACTCCTATTACAGCATTTGTATATGGCATATTGCAGATTATACATACTTTTATTCCACATAAGGCTTGGATGGAAGCACATGGAATATATTACTAAAAAAGCAATTAAAGTAAAAAAACATGCAGTAAGTGCAGTAGGAACACACAGAGATTAGTTTGTGGAGAATGCAGGATAGTAAAACCTGTGAATTAAGCGGAATGAAAAATAAAAACACTAAACATTTAAACATACTAAATAAAAACTAGCATGTGGAACTGGCATGTAGCTGCTCTTACAACTGTTTATATGCCTTAGCACCAGCTAAAATTATACAAAATCGTAAACTTTTGGCAGTGCAAAGCCAAAATTCAGACCTAGGGAAAAGGCAAAAACATGAGGTATGAAATTCACTATTTTCTCACATAATAAATAGTGGTTTTAATTCATCCCCTCTTGCAGAAAAGAGTAGCATCAAAGGATACAGTTTCCACAGATGAAGAGGATGATGAAGTAAATACAGACCAACATTCCTGGAAAAGAGGGGCCGCCATAAGCCATGATCCCATCATACATCACCGAATTCCAGTCCTCCCCAGTCAGGATCTAAATGACACATTCCCACCAATAAGGGATACAGTGTTAGACCACACAGAGAATTTGAAAACCCCATTAACACAAAGATATCCACTGTCCTAGAGAACACCCCCTCCCCCAGGATGGAGCTGATGGAGACGTTGGCTGTGTCCATCGAGAACATTAAATCACACCCCCCCCCCCAAACAACAAATCACAGAACAAAGAAAATGCAAAGAAGGCCTCTGCTCAGAGTGTGAAAAAAAACCCATTAGATGTCTCCTTGAAGATGATGGCTGAAGGCAAATGGCWCTCCTAGAGAACTCCATTCAAGTCTCCCCATTTGTTCCAAGCCTGCTGTTTCAGACAGGCTGCACAGCCCATAGCACTGCCCTGGGCACAGCCATCCAGGCCATTTCCCTTCTCACATGTCAGTGAAATCATCATCCTGATGCTCTTAGTGGATCAAAACTGCAGAGGGCTTAAAGGCCACAGGATTACTTCTGTGGTGCTGTGAGCAGGTATGTGTTCCCCAGAGCAGGGGGGACAGCAGCAGGGGCTGGGCTTTGGCATGAGAGTGCTGCCCTGGGACACGGCAATGGCTGTTCTCTTGTCCTGCTCAGCAAAGACCTGGTGGCCTTGCAACACACAAGAGTTTCACACCCGCTTTGGGAGGAAATACACCCTGTCCTGGCAGCACAACCAGGCACCTTGGTCTGGAGTTGTTAAGGTGGTGTCCAGTCTTGGAGACTGTCAGACTGCAGGGGAAGGGTGCAGGACCTACCCTGCCCCATGAAAACAAAATRTGTTGGCCCCACAGGGACCATTCATGCCCTTACCTGAAACACAGTCAGGAGGGACTGAGGAAAGTTGTCAAATGTACTCCTCCTAGTCTGCATTTCATCAAAGTTAAACTTGCCCCCAAAGAGCTGCATCCCCAGGAGTGAGAAGATGATGATGAAKAGGAAGAGAAGCAGCAACAGGGAGGCAATGGAGCGGACTGAATTAAGGAGTGAAGCCACAAGATTACTCAGGGAGTTCCAGTATCTGGGAGAGAAAACAGAAGCAGTTAAAATTCCTTCAATTTGAGACAGGTGCTCACGGATTGCACAGGATATCGGTTCAGGCTGCCTTCTGCATAAAGCAGGCATTTCCAAACACCCTGTTAAGCAGTGAATCATTGCTGTGCTTCCCCAAGATAAGGAGACCTACTGTGGCTAATGAGTAATTTTACTACCACACGTGTACATACACTGCCACCCCCCACTCCACACATTCACAGAGGGTCATTACAGCACTCTCCCTCTAAGGCTCTGCACATCTTATATCAATATACAGTGATTAGTTCTTGCTGCTTCAGTGAGTTACATTCTAACCAACCTCACTCATTACAACACTCACAGATGTYATGGCAGCCAGAATACCTCACTCCAGAGAAAGGCCTGTAATAACTCATGAGAACAGATGGGGAAACTGTTTGGATGCAAATACAAATTAGCCCAAAATTTGGTGTGTGTATGTGCTTGGGCTCACTTACAGAGAGGTTGCTGAGCCTTCTGGGATTGAGATGAATGAGAAAGATAATAATGTCCCTTCTATGAGGATCCTAAAACAGATTTCAGATCTTCGTCCATTTGGAAGAGCACAACATCACTGGTTCTTTTAGTTATCAAACMTACTATACTTCCTCAAACAGGCTGCAGAACATTTTCAAATGGCTTAATTCGAGAGGATGCCTAAGACTTGTTCTCCCAATGTAGTGAGATTTGTGCCTTGTTCAGACTCATGTATGATGCAGAAAAAGGATCTTCTTGCTCTTGTGGTTCCACTTTAGGGTYCAAAGAGATGCCAGCAAGCATGCTTGCTGCAGCATGCAAGTTTGCATTTTTTGCCAGCCTGCAGAGAAGTCATGAGCTGGAAAGAGGCTTTAGAAAAAAATTTCTAAAGAATTCACCACATCACCCTTGAAGAAACTTCCACTTTGGTCTTGCATCTGCTCAATCACTCCTAATCTACCACTTAGCCAGTCATGACCTCTTCTCTTTTGTGCTTTGAGGCTGCCATAGCTTTCAGATTGAGCTGCAGATTAGCTGTCATCTTCCAATCACCTCATTTTGATGCACATTATTAGCCAGCTTGAACAGCTTTCACAGGTCAGCAAGCMGGCAATGTTTGCCTGTGATCTCTAAGTCTTCATTCTACCTGTCCTACCACCATGCTCTGAGATTCCACCAAGGCCAATGTCCTCCAGTCCCTTCTCCAGAAATCTGTAACTTTGAACATTTTACTCAGAGGACTCTGCATTTCTAACAGTATTTTCCTTGAAGACAAAAGTCCCATGTAAAAAGGATGGCAGACTGGTGCTCTGGCTCTTTTGTGGAAGCCTGATCCTCAACTCATCATTTTTCTCTGAAGATGGCATACTCATTAGAAACAATGGTTCTTAAAATCCTAGTTAAATTAATATTTTTAAAGTATCGATCTAAAAAGAATACTTTTCTTGTCCCATGAAAGATAGGACTGCCTGAGCAGCCCAATCACTTCAGGAAGGATAGAAATCTGATCTGCAGAGGGACATTGCCATGTCCTCTCAAGTTCAGCAGTGGGCTCCTCTCCAAGGACTGAGCTTCAAAGAGAGCTGTGATATTTTCTCTCCAGCCCAGCTTCAGCACTTCAGAGAAAACTAAAATGCTTTAAAGTTTAACTGCAATTAAAGAGATGAGCAATGAAAAACTACATAGCAAAGGTAAGGGCATGGAAGCTGTGGGCTCAGCGCCACCAAATATCCGCATGGAATGTGCAATGTAACAGCTCCGTGTGTTTGCATTTATGCTTACAGCTCACATACTTTCACACTTTGGAAAGAAGGGAAAGTGACACAGGAGAAGGGAAAAAATCATTCCAAAGAAAGTCGAATGAATTCAGYATCATTAAAGCAGAAGTTGATGAGACCCAGAATATCTCCAACTCTACCAATGTCAACCAGGACACACATTTTCTAGATCTTTCCAGCAGTAGCCTTAAGAAGCATACAATAAAGCTGTTAYACATCTGAACAGTCCCAGTGGCTGAATTTAGGCTTAAATGCCTTGCTATCTCAGCCCACAACTGTGTAGACTTCTATCAGCTCTGCATTTCTCACAAATGGCTCAATACCTGGGATTTAGATKGTTATATAAGTATCAAGCTTCAAGCAATTAACTGAGATGGCCTGGTGATAAGATTAGTACTGTTTTATCTGTGTACTAGTTCTAGCTAGAAATACAGCACCATTAGAAAAAGCAAATAAACCAATCAGAAAAAAAAAAAGAGAGAAAGGAAAAAGGAGAGGATAAGGAATGTTTGACTGATTAGGATGTGAAAATAACAATAGCCTTATCTCAGGGTCCTAGAAGCTTGACCTGAGGTTACCATCTGTCACATTTGGTGGTTGCAGAACTCACATGAACTCCCTCAAAGTGACATCTGGRAATACCCAGTGAAACACAAGGTTTTTAAATCAGCAATGGTTGAAGCCCAGTCAAAAAAGAAGTRTCTCTCTACTTCATCCTCTCTGGTTAACACCTTACTACAAAGGGAAAATGAGCACTGGATGCTGGATGTAATAGGAGGTTTTGGACCAGGCAGCTTTTAATGGGAAGTATGAGAGAAAGCAGCGCTGCTGCCTCAAACTTATACAGAAATGAAGGTGCCTCTTAACAGCTCCCACTGCAGATTCCAGGCCCTTGAGGGTGTCAGTGAATGAGGCACTGCAAAGTCCCAAGTGAGCAGGATGTGACTGTGATCCCTGTTTCAAAGTGGAGGAATGATGCAGGGAAGTTAAATGGTTTGTTCAACATCTCACACAATAATCAACTGCAGAACTRGATTAGAACTTTATATGCTCTACTCTCTTCCCTCTCCTCTCTCTCCATTGCTTCCACTATACCTTTATGATCACATCAATGGCACTCAAGGATGCAGGGCTTAAAACAGCAGCAACAGCTGACATTCTTGTTGTTGGAAWGCTTCCCACCCTGTTCATCCAATAAAAAACCACTTTGACAGTGATTTTTGACAGAAGGTACAAAAAAAAGGGCACCCTTTTCTCTCCTCCCTACAGTTAACAGTGAATTACTCAGTGGCAGGATTAGGTATAAAACATCAAACTTCTGTGTGCTGTTGCAAATTATATGATTTATTTTTTAAATGCAATACTTATAAAGAAGTAAAGGATTATTTATAATGAGAAAATAATCTGTCTTCTCATGGCAAAGTAAGATGCTCTGCACAGCACTTAGAAAATTAGGGAAAATGAAACAGATTGTATTGTCTGCTTGTCTAATGTATTTATAATTTTGAAGAAATGTTTGCTCTTGAAAWCCTAAATGGTGTTTCTAAAATGATGTATTGTTCATCTGATGATGTCTTTAGTTGTTTCTATTCTACTATGGAGCTATATTTGTGTTTCTTATAGAATTGTATCATCTTGATGACCCAGAACTCATTCGTGCATGGTGTTTACCAYGGAAAATCCATACCTACTGATTTATACTTTCCAGAGTTATTTTCCTGCTTTGTGCTTTTTAATGCCCTAGATTATCATTATTCTCACCTCCACTATAAGTCCCCATATGCCTATGAATGCATGTTTAATGTAAAACATGACACTATCATTCCTCCTATCCCTCCCATTTTTCCAGTGTTGTATCTTTCTGTATTATCATTGCACTCAGGTGGGGTWTTCCACCAGTACTGATAATGTTATTAATAAGTCCTCATTGTATTTAGAGMTAAGTGTATAATACAAAAATTTGTAATTTACTGGAGAACATCAAGGTAAAAGTTTTGCTTTAATGCCAAAATATTCTCTCCTGCAGTAAGGTATGAGTGGGCCTAAAATACTACTTTGGAGGCTTGTGTTAAGGACTTCCACATGAGGGTGAACTTCACCCACAGAGGAAAGAATCATGAAGAAAATTAGGAATTATTACRAAACATATAAATTTGAAATGATGGCCTACTTGTCAATATTTTAGGCACAAAAGAAAGAAAAATCTGATTAATATATTATGGATCATGAGTTCTTCCTTAGCTCTGTGCTTTACACACAGACCCATGCACAAATTGCAGGAGACATATTCTAGGTAACACTTTTTTCTCCATTAAAAATTGTATTTTAATTGTGCTGCAGAATGAAGGCAAATATAACTAATCCTACAGTTGATTGGTTCCATCATAACATCTCTGCCAGAAGCTTTAGGAATATTTGACTACTCCACTAACTCAAGCTTTCTTAAGTATTAATAATATTCTCTCAGTGTTTGCCTTTCCATTAGAGAATTCTCTTAGCTAGCTTATATATTTTGTGTAACAGTGGAGACAGGTCTTGAAAAAACAATGACCTCTCCAGGATGCTATGTTGAAGCTCATGCTCTTATAGCTATTAGTATGTTGCCCTGGGCGTATCTGATTACCCAGTGCCTGAAACAGCTACTGGTTTCCTCAGAAACCAGGCCTGGGACTTGGTAATGGACAGATTTCAGACCCAAAAGTCCAGGAAAAACAGTCCCCAGACCAGAGATCCCCACTATTTCTGAAAGAGCAAAGGCGCCTTCCTTGCTGGAAACTGGTTAGCTGGAACGTTTTCCTCTCTTCTATGATCACAAATTTAAACAGATCACTTTTTTCCCCCTTTTTGAAATAGTTGTAGGCTTTCTTTGGCCTCAYTCTCTGAGACTGTTAACTGATTTTCTGTCTCTGCCATCTGACCCTGAAATCCATCCATCTTGCCAGAGATCTGAGGCTCAGAAGCTTTAAGGTCAAATCTTGTATGATGCACAAATCCAAGTCTGTTGTTTTCTTTCTCTCAACTCAGCCATCTTGACTATCTTCCAGTTTTGGTCTTGTTTTTCTCATGTGCTGTGTTTTCTATCTCAAGTTTGTCAGAAATTTCCTTTGGAGGGAGRGGTGTTACAGAGATTGTAGGGACATTTTCATAACTGAGCATGCAGAAAAAGCACTCTTTCACCACCTCAGTCAAACTTTTTATAAGGTGCTGACTGGTGCCCACACGGGAAAAGGCAGACCTTGTGCTACTTGGGGSAAACACTTGGACAGATTTGTTTCAAGAGCTCTGGGTAAGTTTGGAGCTGATCTCTCCTACAAACTCCCCTCAAGCTGAARAAGTCCTGCCAGGCCAAGCTGGTCTTTTAGAAGTGTCTGACTCAGCAAGAAGTGACTGTTTATTAGATATCACTGTGCCTTTATGCAGAGGGAGGGAGGAAAKAATGAAAAGGAAAAAGAGAAGACACTGGAAGCTGGAAAAAGTCTGGTTTCTTCACAAAGCTGCTACTTCATGCTGGACTCCCTGGAAGGGTAATAGCTGGTGAAATTTGCCARTAGCTGCTGGTGTTGACACAATCTCCCACTCAGGTCACTGTTGAGTCTACTGGAGCTGGCATGGGCCCCTCAGTCAAATGCTGTTTTGGCTCAAAGCAGTCTTTCAGGCTCCTCTCTGTCACCAAAAAGCATCAGAGAAGGTCACAAGGCTATCTGCTGTTTTGGTTTTCTTTGTCTTTTGTGGGGAACTGTAAGAGCCTGAGCTCAGTTCATATTATTCCAGATTTCAGTTTAACACTTTACAGGGTATCAAGTGTCTCCAGCTGCCTACGCCTGACTCCTCACCACTCACACCAGGGACAGGTACCCAGTCTGGACAGCCCTCCCCAGCCTGTTCCAGACCTCAGAAGATGAGGACTGKTAATCTAACACTCTCTCTACCTAATTAGTGGTAGAAAAAGTGAAAATAAATAGGGATGTGAGTGACATGCACCTATACGTGTTGTGCATTGAGCAGCAGCCCTCCTCCTATCCCAAAGAAGCAATTAAAATACCTTGTGATTTTAAATATTCTTAGGAGTCTGACACATCTCAAAACTGAAATGCCCAGTGGTGACATGATCTTTGTCTCAACCAGGATCGTTTCCAGGATGCCTCCACACACAATGAAACAGTCAAAGCGGTTGAAGAGGGACACAAAGTAGGCCTGGAGACCAAGGCTGTACATCTTCAGCAGCATCTCTGCCGTGAAAAGAGCTAGCAGCACCTTATTGGCAGTGTCTCATGAAAAACAAAAAGAAACAGATTAAGGAAACTTAGTCAAAAGATCATGACAACTAAYCATTGGCCCTTGCTTCTAAAAAAACACTTTAAGCATCAGTCTTAAAASTTAACTTCATATGGGTCAAAGAATGAACTTGAAAAGCGTGGGCACCTCACTCACAGGAATGTTTTAGCAAGATGGTTACAGCAATTCTCATGTACTGCACATACAGCTGCAATGTATTACACAACCTCCAATGGCAGGGACATGCCTTCCTGTGCACAACCTGCCTTCACACTCGTCATCTGCAGAGGAGAGTGGGAATAGAAGAGCTGCTGTGCTACCTACTGTTGCTTAATTAAGCCTTTTCAGCTGCTCTCACCTCCAGAGAGAATTCAGCTGTTCTGCAGACAGAAGAACTTCACAAATCACTCTTCACCACCTCCCTAATAATGAGAATTTATCATAAATGCCATTTCAGGGGAAATCTTGGATAACATGTGGTTCTCAGTAGCCATCCATAAATTGGGAAACCAGTTCCTGCACATATATATTTAGCATAAGCTCCTGATTTCACTTATACCCAATGGAACACTGCTTTGGCTGGAAATGAGGTATTTTCCCTGTAACTTCTCCCACTGCATGCAGATAAGTTTATTGTATTATTTAAGATCCTCCACACTGTTTGGAGCTGCACATGCTCCTCTTACATTGTGTGGCTTAATGCTTCAGCTCTTCCCTCAGCTCCCTTTTTTGACACTGACCATAGTAAAAAGAACCAGCAGGTTCTCCTCACCTTGGACCTCCGTGAGCCAGTCTGGTTGGTTGTAATGCTCAGAAGCAATGGTGAGGGTGTTGAGAAACACGAGGAAAATCACCAGCCAATAGAAAACATTGGACTTGACAGCAGCACGGCACTTCCTTCTGCAGAATCTATTCCATCGGCGCCAGTAGCGACTTGAAAAAATGAAGAAGGAGCCTTAGGATAGTCATTGGAAACATATTTACTCTATTACATGAGCCTCTGGATTAAATCTTTGGAGAGATGAGGTCAAATAAAATCCAAAAAACATATCCAGTATTTAGCGATATTCAGGAGTTAGCCCAATAGAAGGGCTAGTTCTAGGGGTACTTAGGGCACCTCATCATTTCACCTTCATGCCTGGACCTAAGGGTACCATTTGCTAATCAAGAGACTTTTTAAAGTTTGTCTTCCATGAACACATCCCCTTGTGTCACTGATTTCTCAGGGTAATTACTAACCACAGAAGATATTTAAAGCTAATTACACACCTCCTACTCTTCACAATTTAACTTGCATAGCAACCAGTTTCCAAGCAACACTTGCCACTGTATAATAAATCTAATAGTTTTATATAGATACTACATACATATGTGTGTGTGTCTGAAGTGACACACACACAATGTTACAGGGAGAAAGAACTTTTCTTGGCTGTTCTTGTCATGTGTGTAATTTTTAGCAAACTGGCCATGCTTGAGATCAGGGTTGACATCTATAGGAACTAAAGCCAGACAATGTGAACACAATGTGAATGTGAATTTTGCAGCAACATTTTAACAGGTAGTCAAATCTAGGGTGTTTTCTRTGCAATTTATAAAGGCACCCAGTCTAGCTATCACAAACACTTCATAAGGGTTGTGTGTTTTGCAGTGGATTTGGGACAAGAAATAATCTTCCCAAATTCCAAAATGGGCACCACACTTGGACATTAATGTGGTCATGAAGTTATGTTCAATCTCACACACTTTTGTGTGTACTTGTACACAAATGTGCATGCACATTGACAATGTATGATGTTTTCTGTGCCTATATCTACAATCTTTACGTGGGGGTGTCACATATGTGCATTCCTAAATTTTACATTACTGTTCACTGCTTAGCTAAGCTGAAGGACACAGTTACTCGTTTGTTCCAGTTATTCTGAAAATTCATTTAGTATTTTAAAAAGTTGACTTTGAATTCAGGGTTGTGGAGGCAGCTGAGCTCCCACCAAAGGTGTAGAAATGGACCTTAACAACCAAATTTGAGTTCAATCAGTCTCTCCCATGAAAACCCACAAGTGGCCACCTTGGGACTGCTTCACTTTTGAAAAAGTTTTAAGTCAACAGAAAATCAAATACCACCAGAGAAGCTCCCCGGGTCCCAGGGTGAACATAATTTTACAAATAAGATGCAAACTTCACCAGTTGAAATATTTACAGYCCAGCAAAGCAGAGCAATGAAACAAAGAGAGCCTTGAGCTGACAGGGTTGATGTTGACGGATGCAGTATAATCATATGGTTGAACTGGCTTTTTATTTCTGATTTTATATTTTATGGTTTGAGGCAAATAGGTAGCATACATAAGTACTTCAGTAGTCAGTAGTCCCTGCACCTTATTTCAGTATGAAACTAAGAAAAACAGTCTTGATTTGTGACTAAAATCTGAAATATTTAGCAGGATCTCCTATAATCACCAATACATATCAGAGATCTGGTGCAAACCACTTCAGAAAAGAATAAAAATAGCAGAAAGGAGGAAAAACAAAAGACAATTTTACTTACCTAAATTTTGATTTTGAGATCCGATGCCTGAAAGACAAGAATTGTCATTAGAGTCTCTGAAGCTGTCCCGTACCTCCCAGGCTTTTGTGAAAATAGCAACAGAAAGAAACAAAATYAAGCTCAATGCATTTTTTAATCCATGCTGTTTTCCCCTTGAATCTGTTGTAAGCCAYGGAAGGCACTGGCCATGTCTAGAATTCGCCAATATCCAAGTCTTGTGTTTTGGTGGGACTCATGAAGCACAAGTCATGTCCTGGTGGGATTCTAACACSTATAGATAATGGTGAGCTAGATTTTCTCTTGGGTGAACGGCTGGCCCAATACCAGGGGYACTCTACAACTGCTACCAAATTTATTTTTCAAGTGTGACTACTTCTTTTTGCATTTTAGTCACTTTTTCCTTTCTTATATTAAAATATGTATGATTTCATACAGACAGGCTTGTTGCTTTCACACATCACCTGCTGCTTCAGGATATATAAGCACATTATGAAACAATAATGGTGAAAGTAATGCTTTCTTTTTTTTTCTTTTTTCCCCCCCACAATTGAAGGAAAAACAGTGCATGGCAAATATTTTCAAGCTTAAATACTAACACTTATTTGTCTTGGTTATCTGTGTAAATTGGTTTGCATTCAAATGTGTCTGTACACTAACACATTCTGTTGCTATCGATGAAATTTTGAGATCTAAGCATTCCTGAAAATTGGACCTTATTCCTACTATGTATGTGTTTAAATATCTAATTCCATGCATTTGGGTTTATTCACCCAAATTATCTCATTAATCTTTTATGAGAAGTCACAGGCAAAGCTAGAAACAGGCCCCAATTCTTTAATCACTACTTTGCTTTGCTTGACACATGTCCTATAAGGCCTTTGACCACTTCGGCTGTCTTTTGGTAAATCCATAATGGTGCACAGAGAGAAATAAATATATGTAGGCAAAATGACATGAGTCAGAAGTGATTTAGGAAGCTGCAAAATCTACTACCAATACCAGCAGAAGTGAGAAYCTGGGGAATGACTACAAACAAAGTATTTCTGCCGGGCTGAAGCATTCCTTAAGGTTCCCTCTGTGACGGGAAAGTGAGTCATTGTTGACAACAGTCAGCAGAGGTCTTACTGCACTGCCTTAAAATTGGATAACTGTTAGTAGAAATGGGAGAATGTAATTCTTCAAGCATTTAACTCTACTTCCTGTGGCCACCTTAACAATGGTCCTGTCCCTGCTTGTGGACATCAGTTACTGACAAGTAATCAGTGACAGGTCAGGTTCCTTATGTGGAAGAGATTTTTGTCAGAGGAACTTTTTGCCAGCAGATGGGCCACGACAAAAATAAAAGCCTTTTCACCAAATACATCRTTCTTGCTGTGTCACAGGCAGCTTGTCTAGGCCACACACTGRGCAGACATGTGCAAGACTCTTGAGAAAAAAGAAATAATGCACTGGTGGAGCAGAATGTTAAATTATGTTGCAGAGACAAAGCAAGTTCTAGCAAGGATGCCAAGTGAAGCACCTACGAAGCACATCCTTAATGTTAAAGCTATCCCAGCTTCTCACTGAGAATTCTGGCTTGATAAGCACTGCCTACAAACTGTAATGGATCAGATTTACAGGCAACAGGAAAGAAGGCTCAAAGATGGGAAGTGAAAATATGGAAAAATTACAACAAAACAGCAAGCTAAGCACTGGAAAGGAGGTGGTGAGGATTTTGATAGGAAAAGTTTGGCAGGGGCAGAGGGGGAGAGAAAGCGAGAGTGAAAGAGAGAGAAAGGTGGAAGGGAAAGGACAGGGAGTGCAAAATCTTCTGGTGTCTTCTCTGGTTAATGGCTTCCCAGTGAGGCAGCACTGGATTCTTTTATTTATTTAAGCAAAAGAGATGCAGCAGGTGTAGTACTCATCATGCATGTGATAATTATATCTTTGGAGCATTATGAACAGCAGCCAAGTGCATTCAGTGCTCCCACAGGTTACCTACAGCCTTCATCCCCCTCCCTCCACCTTGCCTTACTGCTATGGCAGAAGGCTTTATCACATGTGGGTGTGCTACATATTTAGAACAGGACAAGGAAGGAGGATTACATTTATATTTAGAGGTAGAATCAGAGAGCGAAATGGAATTTGGGAAAGAAACTGTATAATAAATGTTTCTGAAAACATGCACGAATCTGAAATACATTTTTCAAGTGACTCTTATGATTAAGATTTTTTTTCAGAACTTGGCTTACCAATGTCACATATGAAAAAACTTTTATGGCATCACTAGGGGCTGTCAAATAGTCTGGATTTAGGGCCTTGCCACAACGTCTGTGACACTCCAAGCTGGCACTTAATGGGTTCAGAGTGGACCAGATTCTCTGCTGAGTTTAAACATGGATCTCTTGTATCCCTGATAACCTGGGATGTTTATGCCACTGGAAGAGTGTCTCCATTTGCATCCAACTCCAGAATGTCTCAAGAAACTCTTGTTTAAAATCTACTGGATTTCAGTAGAGTTCACACAGTGACACCTCTTGTCTCTTTTTTTACATTCTTGTCCTTGCAGAGGCACTGGAGAGCATGGGACCTGATGGGAGTGATGCTGATTTTAAGAGGTGGTTGTTGGCCAGCAGCAGTAAGAATCTACAGAATATCTTTAAGAAAATTGGAACTGTCTAGCATAAAATTGAGTTGGTTTACTATTCAACAGGCTCTCTTACAGGCTGGGAAAATAGGCCAGCACTTAAGCATTCAGTAAATAATCTTACTCTCCCTGTGGCAAGTTACAGGAAAGGCCTGTCACAGAATCTGAAGCAGAAAGATAATTCCTCTTCCATTAGGGCATGTTACTGTCCTTTAGACACACACCTAGAGCTGACTTTGAATATTAAAAGAACTTTGCTCATAATAAATCGGAGAGCAGTAGCTGAGACTGACACATAAGGGTTTATCCTGTGAGTTTTCCTGTTGAAGTCAGCAGTGGCTTCAGAGCTTTAGGCAGACTTTTCTTCCCACTGCTCCTGATGTTAYGGGAACTTTGGTTCCATCACATCACAAGAAGTCCATCTTCTCATACAGTGAAAACCAGCAGCAATACAGCAAACTTGCAAGAAAACTTTTACCTTTATACTGGCTCCTATGCCGATTATTGCAAGAACTGCATAGGAATTAATTTTCCATGCCAGAAAACCTCCAAGGGAAAAAAATCACTGACCATTCAGCTGCCAGGGAGAGYTTCCATTGTTCATAGAATTTTCAGGACACACTGTTTTTCAGCTGGAAAGCCAGTGTAGGTTGTTCATTTTGGTTTATCCTGTTTTATTGTTTGAACTGTCTTTGGTAGAAAAGCAATTGAACTGTTCCCCATATGTATGGAAATCCTGGCCAAGGCGAAAATGCCAAGTGGGTTATTGTTTCAATGAAAGCAGATAATTTTAAGCTCTCTTTCCCTTTGAGCTCAAGTGCTTCATTTTTCTATTGAAGCTCTGTGGAGCATTAGTTTCCACAAAGGTCTTTTTTTAGCTAATGCATATGTATAAAAGCAAGCTCTATTGTGGCTCTCCAGATCTGTATGGTTGTATTAGAAAATTAACATTCTGCTTGTATTGGAAGATTATATATGCTGACACCCTGCACAGACCAGATTACTCCTGATTATGAGCAAYAGCCTGTCCTCAGGAATCTGAGTCCTGCACAGCAGTAACTGCAGAGGCTCAGGGAAATTATTTGCTGTTGGGAAGCCCTGGGTGTAAGGATATCCTGTAAATAGAACCCCACTGSTCCTGGTTCTGGGTTTATCCCACTGATGCCTGCTGCAGAGGAAACATGTTTCTTTGTTCCCTGAGGCAATAGGTCATGAAAGCTGTGACACATCAAAGTAAGGTAAGTTCCACTTCCAAACGTTGTCCTTGAGAATAAAAGCTGTTGTGCTCCTACTGCAGGGCCGATGTCAGCTCAGTACAAGGCAATACCATGACAGGAATAATACACTGTGGAAATTTCAGGATGCTTTTCAATGTCCTGTGGAACCCTACAAAACCATTTTTAAATTCAGATGCCTGATAAAGTGAATACCCTTAGGAAGGGAACTGCACTGTGCCACAGCACTCCGGTTTGCCAGTAGAATTATACCAGGAGTTAATATGAATTAAATTGGTTTTGTTTTGTTAAACTTGTAACAAATYATATTTACACAACAAGTGAAGAGAGATTAGATGTTAGATTTTTCTTGAAACTCCTGCTGGTTTGAAGGCTGGCAATACTCCAGACAGGACAGTTGATGGAGGCAGTTTCTATAGTATGGATGCTAGTGAAATAAAAGCTTCTCTGAGACAATTCATGAGCAGGAAATAGTTTGTGTTTGAGAGGTACTCTCCTGATCTCGCATAGCATATGTCTCTGTGGAGCTGAGAAAGGCTGTCAGGGAAGATCTCCCTTTCCAAAAGGCACATTTGAGCCTGCCTTCTCAAGCAGATCTTTCTGTCATTCACAGAACCAGCCTTTCAAAACTCTACAGCTTTTAAAAAGAACAGAAAGAATACCGAGTAATTCTAAGTTGCCTTCAATGCAAAAACTTTCTTTCAGTCTCCTGGGTTCTTTATCTTTTTATCATGAGTGCATTTTGATGGCAAGCCCAGCCTATAACTGCAGTGGTGGTGCWGGGATGGTTAAATGCCAATAAATAAATAAATAAATATATTGCCTTTGACTTTAAAGCCCTATGTTGCTTCCATACTGTCTGGATGCAGCCTGCCCAGAGCAGCCTCTGCTCTCTGGGAAAAAGTGAAATTATAGCAAAGCAATGGGGACTCCTGGCCACGGGTGATTTTAGAATGCTGRTAAAAATATTGAGACTTGCCTGCAATACATGAAATGCACTAATTGGACAAAAATCCTGGTTAACCATTTCAACTGTAAAACCAGAGAGTAGGTGACTGCTCAGAAGCCCAGGCCTAWTCTTCAACTAGGGCAAACCAGGATGACACAACTATAATTATTAATGCTTACTCAAAATCTCTAGTACTTGATGAGGACCTCTTTTGAAAAGCTCAATTGACTTCCCACATGAATTTTCACTACTCTTGAAGACYGGGCCAAATTCTGATTCTCAGTCAGATTCCAATGAAAAATAAATACTAATTCAAATAAATCCTTGCTTACATTTTGTATGTTCCAGAAGGAATATTGGCCTATGGGAGGTTTAAATGAGGACTCWATAAACAGAAGAGTACTGAATACTTCTTGAAATCCTCAAAGCTGGTTTCTTTGTCTGCCTAAGTGTGTGATACAGTAACAAACGAAACCAGAAAGGATTTCAAGCCTCAGAACCAAAGGCAGGCCTGAATTGGCACATAACTAAGGAATTTGCAGATCCACAAGTTTAAACAAACATTTTACAAAAGCAGGAAGCATTGGCAAAATATGTATCTCACTCCAGAAATTCATATTCAATGATACAGCCATCCATTTTCATGGAGAAAGGAGCCTATCCATCTCTTAGAGATGAAAAGCAATCTGAGGAAGGCCTTGAGGATCTCAACTTTTTTTACTCTGTCCTTGGGTAAAAATCCCCTTCTCAATAACAGACTTCAATTTGCCTACTATACATCATCCATTTCAAATGAAGTGAAAAGTGGCAAGGAAACTGTTCATCTCTCTGAATCTGATATGTCCTGCTTGGGTGAAACTTTGGGCCCTGTTCAAACATTTACAACATGAGAAGAAGAAATAAAGCTCTGTTTTCCTGTAATTTTCCTATGCCCTCTTCCCTAAAATATTTTGGACTTAGCCATCCCTTCTCCTAATGCCAAATCAGGGTACTGCCATCCTCCTGTGAGCACACTGGGCTATTTTAAGTAAACTCCATTCTAAGTCATGATTACGTTTAGAGTTGGGTTTTAACTTCAGCTCTCCTGGCCACATTCCAGCTAAGATAATTATGTTCGGGTTGCCTAAATTCCCAATGCAGTTTCAGTGCAAAACAAGCTATCCCTCATACAACTCCTTAAACACTTGTGCCTGTTTTTAAACACCTGTAACATTTTACCCTGAAGGTGGCTGAACTGTAACGCTGTGAAAACAATCCCTGCATTTACAGTTCATAAAGTGCTTTAGGATCCTTTGGGATTAAGAACATTAAATGAATGCAAGCTGTAATATTAAAAATATATGAGACCTTAGAGTAACTGTTGCCATTCTTTTTGGCACTGTGTCCACCMTGTGAGGGACTTTACTACTTTGACATATCCTGGAGAAGCAACACAGCAAAGCACAAACAATCCAGAAGGCTCCAGCAAAGTAATGATGACAACTTCCCACCACAGGCAGTGGAGTTCCCACAAGGAATGGTGTGCTGCTCAGCCTTGCACTGACAAACAGGAAAGGCTTTGTTGGAGATGTGAAGGTTCGGGTCAGCTTTGGCTGCCGCTCTGGTCAGTGAACCAGAGGACCCACTGTGGTCCCTTCCAACCTGACCCAYTGTGTGATTCTATGAACCATAGCTGCAGAATATAGCAGCTTGTCTAAACTGGATCCAGCTGATGCTTTCTATAATGTGCCAAGAGCACAAGCAACTTTATGTAGCGCCAAAAAAAGGGCTACAACTGCCCCAGTGCTGTGAATATTCCTAGCCTGGTTCTGGCAGAAAAGTGTTCGTAATCTAAACTAAAACACTCAGCTGGTTCACAACAGCAGGCAGGTGAAGGAAAGCGATCACAAATAATTTTTCTGAGGGCTTGTAAGTCACTGACCGACTCTTAAAGAAAAGCAAAGATTGAAATTACAATATATTCTATATATCACATCTTTTAATGCAGATTACAGAATTACTTGGATGGAAAAGACCCTTGAGATTATCAAGTCCAGCCTATGACCTAACACCACCTTGTCAACAAGACCATGGAACTAAGYGCCACATCCAGTCTTTGCTGAAACACCTCGTGGAACAGTGACTCCACCAGCTCCCCAGGTAGCTCAYTCCAATGTCCAATTCACCCTTTCTGTGAAGAACTTCTTACCAATATCCAGCCTTAACCTCCCCTAGCACAGTTTAAGACTGTCCTCTCATCCTCTCACGGTTGCCTGGGAGAAGAGCCGACCCCTCCTGGCTATACCTTCCTTTCAGGTATTTGTAGAGTGATAAGGTCTTCCCTTAGCCTCCTCCTCTCCAGGTTAAACACTCCCAGCTCCCTCAGCCATTCCTAGTAGGATTTGTGCTCCTGACCTTTCACCAGCCTTGTTGCCCTTCTCTGGACTCTCTCCAGCACCTCAGCATCCTTCCTAAATTGAGGGGCCTGGTACTGAACACCAGACTGAAGGTGCAGCCTCACCWGTGCTGAGTACAGGGGAAGAAGCACTGCCCTGCTCCTGCTGGCCACACTATTCCTGATACAGGCCAGGATGCCACCGGCCTTCTTGGCCACATGGGCGCACTGCTGGCTCATGTTCCACTGCTGTCAGTCATACCCCCAGGTCCCTTTCTGCCTGTCCAGCCACTGTGTTCCCAACCTGTAGTTTCCCGGATCCTCCTTTTCGTCCTTCTTAGAGATGGATGTCATATTGTCCAGCTTCCAGTCATCTGGGCCCTCCCTGGTGAGCCAGGACTGATGATAAATGACGGAGCCAGCTCCCTCATCACCAAAGGATGGAACCCATCTGGTCCATTTGAGCAACACCCAAGGGATCAAGGTAGCTCCCAGGACAGAACAGAGCCCCAAAATACTCCAGCATGGTACAAGCTATAGCACTTGTTTYGGTCATGTTTAAGGAAAATTGGAGGGAATAATGCATTGCCCCACAGCATAATGCCCATAATTCTAGCTTATGTAGTGGGAAAGGGAATAAAGGACTCCTCTTGCCTATTCTTGCTCTCTGCAAGGCTAAAAAATATGCCACATATTATGGCATTTCCTAACTGCTATCTCACACATTCTTGAGCATCTCCACTAACTACAATGGTGCAATTTCAAGGAGACATTAATTGCTCCTAATTGTTGCATTTCTTTATCACTACAGTACTCTGTTCAGCGTTTGAAGGGTGTATTTCAGTTTGCAGAATGGGAGTTATCATCAATGTATTTCTGTTACGAGACACTGTAAAGTGTACAAGAACATTTAGAAAAATTAAAACAGACCAGTCATTTACAATCTTCAGTCTACATATACTAGTTTTGAAAGTCTATCACAAAATGAAATTTTAAAATAAGAACACTGTTATCCACCAGTTCCTCTTTTACCTATTACACCAAACCAGATCTGTTTATCCTGAGTGTTGTCCTTTATTTACATCTGTGTAAAACCAGAGGCTCTTCATTAATGTCCACAATGAGTTTACATTGTAATTAAAATAACCTGGATCAACAGGTCTGCAGCCTCTCCTTTCACCTGCTGTGGGATTTTCTCCATATTAAAAAGCCTGACATTTCCCCTGGCATTCCTCCCCAGTTCAATCCAGCCCCTAACACATTATCTGTGTGCAGGTACTCACGCCAGCCTTGCACTGCAGTTCTCGCCTTCCATATCTGCCCCAGGGACGTTGTCGGTGTTCACAGACTCTGTCTCGCTGGTGGGCATGCTCACTGCAAGAGTCAAAGGGAAGAAAAAGAGAGGGATGGTCATTAGAACCTGGCACATCTGTTAGTGACTCCATGATTGAAGGAACTGGCTTCATGAAAAGACTCTCAGCTGCAGCTCCTGAAATTAAACAATTTGCAGAGCAAGTCTAGTGCTTCCCTGCACAAAGGAGGCTGGGCAGGTAGACTTGAAGAACAYACAAGTTACTCAGATGCTAAAGTAAAGAGGAAAAGCAGCTGTTCTCCTTCTTTCAGAGTCAGTTCCTGGAAATTTTGTGAATGAGAACCACTGAAAAGTAAAGAACTTGACAAATCCATCAAGAAGCTTTTGTTTGATTCCATGGAACACTTAAAAAAYCCGCCTCCTTACCTGCAGCAGCCCAACTGCCTTACTGCCTTCRCCAATATTTTGGGCAATGAGTAGAATACAAATAAAAGGTATCAGGATTGAGATGCATGCAGATAAGCAGCTTCTGTTTGTCTGACAGCAAATACCACATAAAGAATACTGATGGTTCATCTGTCATACACAAACATTAACTTGATTCAACCTTACACCTATAAACTGGACTTATATGAGGGAAATTAAGGCTCTCTGACCCACTCAGATATTACAAAAAAAAGAGCTGGAATATGGACTGTGGTGAAGCTTTTATGTGGACACTCACAACTAGGAACTGGACAGAATCTCCTAGGCTTTTACAGAAGTATCATGGAGYAAACATCAAATGAAAGCAACCTTAGGTGTGAACCCCTCTCATCTAGATTCAAGAACCTGTTTCTAGCTCTTATCAAACCTCAAGATTTTATTTGCTTCTACAGATCGTAAAACCCCCCTCAAACCCGCACCATTTTAATTTCCCCAGTTGCTCATGGCTCTTACATAAAGTCCAATAACACTTTATATGTAATCATTCAACTGAAGTTAGGGAACTGGATAGGATCTAATATGTGTCCTGTTCTGTCCTCACCCCTCTTCAAATACACAAAACAAATGAAAAAGTTATACTTAAGACTGAATGATGGAGGAGTTAAACAGATCTCCCAGGAGCCTGGCAGAACTTCAGAACATAACCTGTACTGGCTGTTGGATACATATCTCAGATGAGACTTGAGAACGTGTGCTATTAGCTGTTGGAGAGATTTCTAATAGTCTGTAGGAATTTGTAACTCAATAATAAGAATATGTCTATTTGTTGATCATTGGTGCAAAACGAGGCAATGTAGAGGAAATTGRTTCTGCATTTCAATTGGGCAGATGCTCAGGGAGGCGTGGTCTTCTTTCAGGGGCTGAAGAGACATCAGGAGGTCCTTCCAAAAATGTTCTGGGTTCCTGCTTTGAAGGCCTTATGGCAGAAGTGTCCCTCAAAATGAACTACCTTTCTTTCATCCCATCACAACAATTCACATACCTCCAATACACTTTTTGGGAAATCTAAATTTCTTGTATTGTGTTCTTAGGACCATATGAAAAAATGGACTCTCTAGCACTCTTGACAGAACTGTGAAATACCGTACTCCAGTGGTGCCTGATCCTTTATGAAGACAGATGTTTTAATAATCTAGTCTATTTGGAAAGACAAATTAAGGAATAAACTGAATTCATGTTCTGATATACATGAAACAGTCAAGTAAGCTGTGAGAAAAAAACAACACTCATAATTGAAATTTTTTGTCCAGACTAAGCCCTGCAGGAAAAAAGCCAAAATGCTGATATTTTGCAAGTCATTTTGGAAGATGAGGTAAAACACTTTCAAGATACATTWGAGTTTATTTGCAAATAAAAAAAAAATCGAACACATTAGCAAGAGATTGATTTGCAGAGCAGCCTGTCATCCTGAGTGCATGAAGAGGGCACTGCACAAGCAATAGACAAAGCCAGGCACACACATGCAGGAGAATACGAAGCTGTATTATTTGCCAGTCTGCACAGACATATACAGACACACAGACACACAGAAATACACAGTGTAGACACAGAGTGCAGTGGAACATTACCATGGCTTTCTGTAGAGTGACTAAACCAAGCAAACTTTCCTTTCTTCTCATCAGGCAAACCAGCTGGAGGGCTTCCTTTCACAGACAAGATGGTCAGTGTCAAGTACCAGGAACAAGACATCAACAGAGAACATGCAGCCAGTGACAGGCAAAAGAAAAAAACCAAGGAACTCAGCTTACACATGATATCCACTTCTGTCTGAAAACTTCATCACGTGAATTAAAAATGCAAAATGTAAAACAAAGGTATACAGAGATATGAAATATCACTAACAAATCATCACACAATAACTCTCATTTGCTTTCTGTTATTTATTTATATCCAGCTCTTGAGAACATGAAGTTAATGAATTTCAGTTTATGGGYCATATCCCAGAGACATCTAAGAGTGTACCTCATACTTCCCTGACTTTACTGATGCAGAAAGTCAAACTTCAGTGAARTGAGAGATGCAGGTGCAGTGGTACATGGGCTGAAAGGACCCCATGGATCACTTTGCTGGCACCACCTCACAGGTGCTTATTCTGCACTGATGGAAAATGTTAAGAGTAATCAAAAATATTAGGATGGTATGATGCATTAGAGGAACGATGCTCTAGAGGATAAAGGTCAGGACAGAAAGGAGATTAGGCCTGTGTTCCCCAGTGCTGTGTGCTCTCAGAAGCACAATCACGTCACCTAGCACCTCACAACACCTTCAATACCAGAGGATAATCAGGTGTGCAGTTCTATGAGGTTCATTCAGGTCAGGTTACAAAACAGAAGATGCTGCAGAAGAGTTGTGCATRAACTGGGGCTGAACATGAGAGGAAGCAGACTAATACAGCCCAGATAGCTTTCTTATCTGACTCAGTTCTCAGAGAACCCAGACCCTGTGTCCACACCCTGGCTCCAGTCTAAAARCAAGGCAGGCATTTTTTGCAGTCCAGGCAATTAATGACTGGAACCATGTACCAATAATGCTGGTGGTAAATCCACCACAGGAATGTTTTAATCAGGAAGAGATGTTTTTCCCAAATGGTGGGCTCAAGTCCAGACCAGAGTTGTGTTTAGGACTGTGGCATACAGACAACACCATCTCAATAGCCACTTCCTCCCTGCAATTTTGGGAGTTGAGACAAAAGCAAAACAGATGCAAAGGCAGATACAAAATCATGGTGGTTGCTTACATGGGAACTTCCTTTTTTTAGATTTATCATTGTATCCCTTACCCACTGTGAAATCTCCATTAGTTCCATATCCTCTAGGTAGCATAGAAAGCAATTTTTTTTTAAGGGAAATGAAACAACTTTTTAAAGGCAGGCAAGTATCTCATGGTTTCAACAGAGCACAAAACATAAGAACCAATAGGTTTGATATTCCTYCTCCAGTTCCTTCTGAAGCCTTTGCACTTCTTATGATTTGCCACAGTGTGGCTCATCACTGAATGTGGACTTTTTCTCCTGGACTACCTAAACACCAATTTCACATAATTTACATAGCATTCCTGCAGCAGTTAAAGCACCAACAAAAGCTATATAGCAGCTATCTTATAAACAAATCTGAAAAATGCTATGTTAATTCCAGCCCTGAGACCCAACAGAGAAAAATAAGAGCAGAGTCTGTGGTCTGTGACTGACTAGACAGATGTGCAAGACCCTTTGAGAGCCTCTGTTCCATGTCACTGGCATCGAGCACGATACCAGCTCTACTCTTGGACTAACATATGTCCCACCYCCAATGAAATGCCCTGGGGGCACTCAATGAATTATTGGATGGCAGGTTGCCAAAAGACAACCAACCACCAGAACAGGAAGCTGCCACAAGCAAATACCCTTCTGTGCAGTCCTGAGATGATTTTTCCTTCACACACCTGGAGAACAATATTTGCTTCCCAGTTTGGAAATATCATTACYGCTGTTGCATCTTGCATTTATGAAATGCTTGTCATCTTGGAAGTAGAATAAATTGTGATATTCAGATTTATTTCCATGAATTATATAATGCTGTCACACTTCTTGCTGAGTCTCACTTTAATACTGTGATGATGTAAAACTCAGATATGATCATGCCTGGGCAAAGGGTGCCCAGCTCCAGAGACACAGACAAAACAAACTTTTTATGGATTTTAATGGGACATGTTACTACATGACTTTGCAGATCTAGGCATTAATTATAAAACTGATTGGAGGCTATTCACATTGCCTGACTTCACCTCTCTGATTTAAGTGTTTGAGTTAGGCTACAGATAAATTCCTACCACAAGTTTTCTGAATGCCACACTGATGTGCCCCTCAGTTGTAGGGACAGGATAAAAAAAGACATTTGCTTTACGTCCTTGGGATAGGTACCTGACTTGAAACAGTGTGACTTTGCAACAGTTGTTCATTTGTAGTGAAAGAGCCTTGTAGTGGGTTTTCAGATTTAAAAGAGCAACAATACACTTAATTGACTTTTATAATATGCTCACTCAGACTGTGATTTTTCCAATACACCAATTTCTACTGGTATTAAATTACTTTTCAAAATATGGGTCCAAATAACCCCTTTTGCCCATGCTGGCATTTGAGGTCAGAAGGACCTGAAGTCACTACCCCACCATTTCACGTTCTTGTGTCACCTTGGTCACATGACCAAGCTTTTCTCTGTACCTGTTCAGTGTCTCTAACAGGGGGGTTGTAATTCTGCACTCACCTTGCCAACCTCTCTGAGAGGTGCAGATGAAACACATTACAGTAAGTGCTAACTACTATAGTTATTACTGATGCTAATGTCTCCCAAGYGGGACTCTGCACAACTATAAAGCAAATCTAAAGAGCAAAATAGTCCTGTGAATTCTCCAGCTGGGATTTAAGATTTCTTTTCCCATCAAGCACAAGAATAAATTGCAATACCCAGGCTGCTTCCTTTAACAGWATGTGCATCAAGTGAATGACTTTGTCTCCAGCAAAACCCTGCTTCCTGTGGTGCCTTTCATGCCCATCATTTCATGAATGAGTCTATGGGCAGCTGGCAGAATATCAATTGAC